AGGTAGATATATATGTGATTGTTTTTTTCTTCTTTGTGACAGTGGTTGTCGTTCAACCCATGCGTTAAACTCCATTAAAACTCTTTATCGCGTCAATTTCACAAATGAATTAGACATCACAAGTAACGGAGTAGCTGATGTGGCTGTTAACTGTTAACCGTGATCACCCACTGATTATCTGTGGCTCCTCTGACACTACTGTAATACAACATGTAACAGTATGTGTGTTTTTTTAAAAATATTGCTGCAGTTGGATTGGAGGAGTCATTCACTGAGGTTTTGCTCAGTCACACTGCAGACATGAAGGCACAAAGGAGATTCTGGTGTTAACTAGTCTGGTGTGGTTATTAGTTAACGCTGTGTGAAACCGTAGAACAAAGACCCTGTTCTCACCCTACAAGAGATTAGGATATTTACAGAGCAGCTAATCCAAATTTAGTTAGTTATTTCTTTTAGAAGTTGGATGAAGAAACAGAAGAATAGAAATGAGAAACTGCAACATATTTCCATTGATACCATTTGTGACAACATAGAAAGGATATTAAAGAATAATTTATTTTAGTAGCTTTTATTAAACTTTTTCCAAATATGTCTGGACTTCATCAATAGGAAGCAGGTGTGGCAAACAGACAACAGAAAAAGATGAGAAACATGTATAAAGTTCATAATGAAAACACTGAATATTAGACATTAATTCCATTCAGATTTCAGGATCTGGGCGTCTGCTCTTGGAATTGTTCAGATGTAGACGACATCTTTAATTTATTTCCCATACTTTCAGTGATAATGTCACATTCTTTTTTAAAAGCAAGCAGACTCAGGTCCTTAGATGAGTCATAATACTGCTGACAGAGAGATCACGTTACCTTATGGAAACTATTAGCCTCACTCTGTTCTCACTTGAGTTTGAACTTTTACACCATATCTTTGCAAAAGCACTTTCGTGAAGCTCAACTCGCTGAGCAAGGATTGTCAGTTTGCGAAGACCTGACATGTTTCCGTTTCACATGTTCATGTTTCATTCTTGGTTTTCTTCTGTCAAGGTTTGAACAGGACCAGCACCTTTTCTTGTGAAGCTCATAACCGCAAAGGTGTGGCCACATCTGGATCTGGAACCATCACTGGTAGGTGTCAAAGGCACGAACGTGTCAATGAGCCATCTTAGTCCTGGTTTACTGTCAGTGATGAGAGCACCCGTCCTTTTTTCTAGTTCTCCCATCACAGCCTCGGGACTTAAAAATTGTGGAAACCACTGAGACCAGCCTCCGTCTGTCGTGGCACCCGGGATTTGGCGGCGACTACTCGATAATTCGCTGCTCTGTTCAGGTGAGACGGCCCGCGATTGACGTGGGAGGAGTTACAAAAAAAACAAGTGGCTGAAAAAACAAGTCTGGAAAATGGCTGTGATTGTTTGACCTTCATGTTGAACAAACTCATCACTCACTATTGTGTTTGTGAGACTGGGCAAGACCAATTCAAAGACGAGAGCACTCGCTCTTCTGTTCGTCTCTTAACTTATGCTCTACTCCTCCCTGTTTTATTCATGGACCTGTGGATCAGGTTTCACTCTGGGAAAGTGGCCTTTTGGACCAGCCAAACACAGCACCGCTCCCTCTCTCCACCGTCCCTCTTTCTCTCCCTTTTTCTCTGTCACTCGCCTTTCCGTACCAGAGAAATTAGGAACGTTTTCTCCTGGAGAAGGGAGCCGTGCAGCGGCAGCACCACCCCTAACCGTCTGGTTCCAATAAAGCTGCCCCTCATGCCTCGCTGTTCATGCACCCACCCTTCAGCCCCCCTTCCCCTCCCACAGTCTTTCCTTAGCCCCTCACCCTCACAAGGGAACAAGGCGAGGGGCCAGCCCAAGCAGAACAGGGCAAAAAATATGAATTTTACAGCTTTGTGTTAAAGAAAGAAAGAAAGAAAGAAAGAAAGAAAGAAAGAGACTAAGTCTGGGGACAGCAGGTACGTTAGCTCTGAGACATTCACAGAGAATGCATGCTTCAGTCTGACTCAGTCAGAGTTGTACAGTCAAATTAAATACACTTGTTTATAGGCTGAACTATGAGTCATCCAGTCAGGATTGTCTTTTACTCTCCCAATTCATACGCCGTAGTCAATCCCACTTAAAACTCACTCCCCTGGGCGCAGGCCTAGATGCTGCATCCAAAATTTGAATTTTCTCTTCCAAGTTATTTTGAAAGTTGTTTAAGAAAAACACAACAGGACCCAGACACAAAAGTAACGGGTGTATGAAAGACAGAGACACTCAGAAACACTTGTGAATCACAAAAAAAACTGCCAATCATTCGCACATGGTCTCCTAAAACTGAAACAATGAGTTTTTGAATGCATAGGGCTTGAGTTTACTGTTACTGAATACTACCAGGTTCAAAACCAAGAGTACGTGGGCTCACATAGTCCTTAGAACATAGTTCCCTACTTAAGAAGCAAATCCATAGAGCCAGACAAAAGGACTGCCGTCGTAATATCCCCAAAACATCATTACCAATGCTATGCAACATGAGCCCGATCATTTTGAACTGTTAAAGGTTATGGGGTCGCCCATCTGTCATCCATATAGAAAGAACTCTGGGTGAGACACAGTTACAGACATGGAGTGTTGAGGTGGGTGATAAAAGAATAGTGTTGGGTTAATCTAGGCAATTTATGATTCTTAAAGCTGCTGTCTGTAAAGTGGTTTGGTTAAATCTGTGCTCAGTGGAGTGACCAATCACAGACTGCGTTTGGAAATGTTCAAATTGTAGTAGAAAAGTTTGTTGAAAAGAACTCTTAGACCAGTCCATGACATGCTGCCTTGTCAGCAGTCAGAATATTTAAAGAGACAGTGTTCTCTCTCTCAGTGACACGGACAGGAAGTCAGTGAAATTTTAGCCAAAAGAAAACACTGCTGCTGTTAGGTAAACAAATGTCCACTCATGTGATTGTGTGAAAAAATAATAATATGTAATCAGACTGACCATGAGACGATGTTGTTTACCCTCAGAGATGCAGCTTGTTGTGTGTGAAGGAGAAACAGAAAACAATGGCTCAGACCAGTAACTTTAATGTGGTTTTAAAATTGCTGCAATGAAGGATTTTCCTGTGCCTCTGGTTCTTCTTAAGCACATTTTACCACCGGGACTTTGCAGAGACAGCAGGTTTCTGCCTGTGATGTTGGTTAATGACTTCTTCTTTTCTATGCACCTCACTGAGTCTGGGTCACGTTCAGAGCAGTCAAGCAGATTTTACACCATTTGTGGGAATTACAGTTAACGATAGCCACTGGGCATGTGCTCCAGCCTCTATCGTCTCCGCCCTCCCACCTTACAACCAACTACTGTGTGTCAGGTAGTGTCTTTAAAGGGAAAATAATATTATGTATATGTGCATAATTTGACCTACATTTATCATCAATTAAAAACTATTTAACTATTTAACATATTAAATGTATTCAGTATATTTTAAAACATGTATTAATCATTAGTTAATGATTACCAATACATTTGTCTAATTATTGCCACATATCTGCCACAGTTGTGGAACTGACAACTTGATTCTACTCTTAAATTGTATCAAAAATATCAGGTTTTTGCTCAAAGATGCTCTTTATTTGTTCTTCCACTTATTTCAACTATGAGAACATGTCCAGATTGATTTCTCCAGTATGCTTTTGGTCCTTTGAAATCTAAATTATTGTTGAGAAAACTAAATTGTTTTTTTTTTATATATAATTCAGGCCAGGCGTTCAGGAGAGTCCTTCACTGCTGGCACGGAGAAGATGATCCACGACCAGATTGTGAACGTCCCACCAGCCACCCACCTCATTGAGAACCTGGAGCCCCATACACTGTACGCTGTCAGAGTGGCCTGTTACAGCAGTCAGGGCCCATCTGACTGGTCACCCTGGGTAGAGCTGCACACCAAAGAAGGAGGTGAGAGAGAGAGAGAGAGAGAGAGAGAGTCCAGATCCACTTGAGATGTTTGTTTTTACATCTGGAAGTCTTGTGTTTGGGAGTGCTTCCTCTGAAGTAAGTCAAGGTCAAGGCTTTGCTATCAGGCTACTGATAGAGTCAAAGTCTCTTACCGAACTAAGGGCAAAGGGCAGACACAGGTGGTTTGTCTTTAACAGCTCGTTCAAGAACAATCTTTATTATTGGTATTTTTACTGAAAAAACTAGCCCGAGCTTATGATTGTCATCTTTGATAGGGGAAGACATAAATATATTTGTGTGTAGTATTTTAATACTGTTCTTATAAAAGCATCTACCACTGATCAGGTTAAAAATATGCTAGAGCGTTCTTGTGTAAAAATGGAAGCAGAGTGTTCAAACACTGCCTTGTGTAGTAACAGAGAGTGGTCAAATCGCTCCTGCCTGTGCCCCACCACCTTGGTCTCTGATTATGAGAAATCCCAGACACCAGCCACTCTCTAACCCCTGCTGTAAATGTAAACGCCTGAGGTAGATGGTATTGGAGGAGCAGGGCATGTGAAGGAGGGGTGAAAAGGAGGAGTGGACGTTAAATTTCCCTGAAAGGCTTTAGTTAGCTTCGAAGCGCTCTGACCAAACTGTAATGCCAGGCTGGTTGTGTGTCTGAATTCTAACTGAGGTGGGATTTTCCATGCCAGCTCATGCGGCCTGTATCCCAGGGTAGTAAGAGCAGATACGCCACTGCAGGGATGACGGGGAATTTCCGCAATGGAAGCTGTTGGTAATCTAAAAACATTTCTATTCTGATGAACGGGACAGTGGAGAAGTGACTCTGTGCAGCGTTTTCACTTCTTCATTCAGCAAAGTTACAAACGTTTTTGTTTCGCTTCAGTGGAAAGAAAATCTCTGTTTTGCCTCCTTGTATAATCTTTGTGAGGTTTATTTGTCTTTCAGTTGCTACTTTCTCTACAATTTGTCATTGTGTAAGAAAGTTTTTGTAAGAAAACAATGGATTTGATTGAGCTGGTGATCAAACTTGTTACTGTCACCGTAAGAGCAGTGAGAGATCGTAACACAGTATCATTTTTTAAACACTTGTCACTGAACTGAAAAAGGAAGAAACCATTTTATTCCCATATCTCCTCTAAACCAAGCACCAGGCCAGCCTTTACTCACGCTGTTTAAATATTTATTGTTTTAAAAAAATACAAATACTGCTAAGGAATTTGTTTCATGCCTCTCCAAACTGCCTTAGTAAACTTCTTTGTTCTGGATCTAGTCTTTCATTCACTCTCCTTCATCACTCATTTCCCTTCCTATTTGACCTCTGATGACCCCTGATCTCCCTTTCCAGAGCACTGTGGGAAAAATAGTGGGTTGACGATGGGAGAAAGGGGATTGATGGGATGGAAAAGAAGAAGGAAGGGGAGAGAGGGCACTTTGAGAAAACACTTATTTTCCTATTTTCCCAAAGCAAAGTATTTCCTCGGAAAGATGGACCCACACGACAGAGGGAGAGAGAGAGAGAGGGAGAGAGGGAGGGAGAGAGAGAGGGAGGGAGAGGGAGAGAGATGCTGCCTCTTACACACAAAAAGCAGCATCAGCTACAGTACTCTGATTGATTGTTTAAAAACCATTAAACAATAAGGATTTGATTGGTCAGAGTTATTACAGGATAGTCGTGTGACAACATAAACAAGTGAACGTAGCTTTAAAATCACTGTATGTTTTTCATTTTCAGGAGGAGGTTGTCCTGGTAAACCACACTGTCAGTTCTCCTTCTGAGAGACATTGTTTTGTTATTGTTTCCTCCTTTTTTATTGTGCTGTGTTTTGGGTTTATTGTTAAAATAACTGGAGAAAAATTCTCATTCACATGCTGACATTGTTTGACTAATTAGGAAAAGAATGTCATTTTTAGTTTAAGCAACGGTTTATTGTTGAACCCAAAAAAGACTCAAAAGATGAAATTCCTTTACTAATTCTTTTTTTGTTTCTTGTCATTTTGTTTATTAGAATATAGAATAGAATAGAAAATTAGAAACATGGATAATGTAAAGAAATCTGAAAAGTGCCAGTCAAAAAGACAGAACTGTCCCTTTAAGCCTGTGGTCAGCCTCTCTAGGCATGTGTTTTGTCACATCAGTCCGATTTCCTAATGCGATGCCAGGGCTAATTCAGAGTTACGGGACGCACATAATCACCACAGTAATGGAAGTGACTCATGAAGACATGGAACGACACGCACACACACACACACACACACACACACATGCAGTGTGAACATAGAGAGTAACAACCTTGGAGCGACAACTGCGTCCTGTAACACGTGACGATCTGAAACTCTGCACTCTGACTGATCAGGCAAACATGTTTCCTGTCTGCTGCTGAGTTTGTTTTTATTGTTAGAGAAACGACTCCAGATCCCAGGCTTCATGAGTCAGTCTTTGGCTCAGGGTTGACCTCTTCCATGCACGTGTTGACCCACGTCCAGGCCAACCTTAGTGAGAGAACCCGATCAATAGTTCACGAAGTTACAAATCTGCAGTTTGAGCCGCTTTGGAAAGTATCAGAACACTTGTTTACCTTAGGTGCAGATGTTTCGCTCTGCTGTTGTGACCTAATTGCCCCTCAGACGTGTGTGTTTCTCAGCTCGTAATGCTCAGTCCTAACTGCTTTAATGTGGAAAACCATTGAACAGCATAGGGTTGTTTTTTTTCCTTGATGTTTCTCAAAACAACAGGATCACTCCGAGCTTTTTCTATTTTTTATTAGTTTAACAAATTGTGCAACCGTTTTTTGTTTTATTTTATTTATTTTTTTGCCCTCCTCAAAAAAGTTTTACGTCAACAATTAAAAGCTTTGTTCAGTCAAACTCAAAAAGGGAGGCATTACCACAGAGAGGGCAGTGAGGGAGAAGTAAAAAAAAAAAAAAAAAAAAAAAAAGGGGGGGAAGGAAAAAGAGGGGGGGGGGGGGAGAAAAGAAAAAAAAAAAAAAAAAAAGGAGGAGGCAGGAGAGAGGGAGCGACAGACGACGGAGCAAAGGTGGAGATGAACTTGTGGAACAGAACTTGACTTGGAGGTTATTTTTTTTGGTAGGGAGAAAGGAGCCGCATGTGGAAACAATCAGCAGGCAAATGCTTCCTGATAACATCATCCATAGGCTGGGCCATGTTTCCCAAACTCACACTGACACGGTGTGTGTGTGTGTGTGTGTGTGTGTTTGCTTGCGCAGGAGGGCGGGGGTGAGGGGGTTTGTAGTTTGTTTTAGTTTTTGAAAGCTGGCAGACTGAGTAAGATACAAAGGCAAAAAAGAGCCTTAACCTGCACACTAACAAAGGAAATGAGGACTTTTGTCTCCCTGTGAAAAGGGTTTTAGATCTCAGTGTTATCCAGAGCATCAATAACTCTCTCTCTCTTTCTCTCTCTCTCTCTCTCTCTCTTTCTCACACACATCCACATTACTCGCACTATTCCTAGTATGCCTTTCAGCTAGGTTTTCTCTCCATTGGGTATTTCTGCTGCCAGCAGCTCTTTTTTTTTACTCTTTGCTCTAAAGACCCTGAAAAAAAAAATGCAAACGAGAAGAAACGGGACAAAAATGGGGTAAAAGTCAAGCAGCTTTGGGGGGATGGGAGGGAGGGGGTAACAAATATCTCCAAACATGTCATTTTAAATAAAGAGGATTTACTTGTTTGGTTTTTCTGAACTTCGATAACCACTCCTGTCTTTCCTGCCTCCCTTTCACTCCCAATAAACAAAATTCTCTAAATTCTCTGACGTTTCCAGCTGTTAGACTTACCCACACCCTTGAGGTTCTAGCATGTCCAAACAGCAGACACCTAGTTGACTAACCCTCAGCCTAGTGACCCCTGACCTCTTGGCCCACAGCCCTACAGTGGTGTCCTCCCGCTCCTGCCCCTAGCCGAGCTGTGACAGCCACCCTGTGAGCTAAATGCTTACTGTAAATTACAAACAGGTCAGAATATAATAGTATAATATCATACTGTTTACACTTAAATGTTTTCATTTAATTATTATTATTTCAAATATGGGAATTGGAAACCGAGGACAGGTTGTGCTGTTAATGAACTTCTATCATTTTGAAATTAAATCTGGTATAGTAATTATAGTAGTTTTTTTATAAGTGACCTAAAATGGGTATCTCATCACTCACATAGACACATGATTTAGGGATTAGATTATAAATGACTATTAATTAGTAATTAAAATAAAGAAAGATGTTGCTGTAAGTGTACTCACTGGAGCAGAACGATGTGGAAATCTAACTTTTTTATGTCAAATTAATTTACAGTGCCGGAAAACCCTCCTGTGAATGTGACCGCAGTGTTGAACGGTACTGAGGTTCTCATGATGTGGGAGGAACCTCCAGGAAAGCTGAATGGAGAACTGCAGGGCTACATTGTGGAGTACAGCACACCAGACACTGAGCAGGTCAGTGAACTACTGTGTGTCCGTCTTATAGTCAGACTTTACATCTAACTCTTACTGATTGTTTTCCAATTTTCTTTTTTTGTTGACAGTTGATCGTGGACACAGGATTGGGCGCAGAGATTTCAATCAATTTGTCCCTCCCCCTGTCCAACGTGTCCTTCCGAGTGTGTGCCTACACAGGTGCAGGACAAGGGCCCTGGACACCCACACAGACTCTCACACTTATATCGCCCGGTCAGTAGAAAAACATATTTTTGTCCAGCATCATGTTTTAATTAAAAATACATTCTGCATAATAATACAGTTTTTTATTATTAAAAAATGTAACATTTTATTCAGTTTAAGTTCTGTTTTCTGATGCTGCTGACAGTTAGTTTTTGTGACATGTTTGTTTTCTTTTTCTTTGTCACAGAAATGGAGGAGTTCAGAGGTGAGTCATCAATCCAGTCTTGATGCTATACAGTTCCTGACAGGAAATGCCCACGCTCAAATTATCATTACATGTTTCATGAAACATGACATTTTTGAAATGTATTTTTAAAAATCAATGTGTGAAAAAACAAAATTGTGGGGACAAAAAGGTTGATTTAAAAATTCTCAAAAAAACAAAAATCAAATCAACAAAGCGCAGATGACAAAACATAACATGACACATAGTGACTCATAGTGAACAGGAACAGTGTAAGTTCATGGAGGACATCCTATTTCTTCAACACAAAACTTCTCTTACTCACGCTCTTCACCTGGTTCCTCAGTAAGGCTTATTTTCTATAAAATCTACAGAGAAAAGGAAGGAAATGAAAAAGAGGAAGAGACCCGCTCAGATCCATTACAGGCCTGGTATTAACATCTGCCCCGAGTGATGGGGTCACAAGGAGAGAGTGTTAGGTTCAAATGTGACTGAACTTCATGCAACGTAATCTTCAAACAGAAAAACCACATATGGGAATTGATTTTCTTCCCCATCAGTCACTGAACTGGTTTCTGACTTTAGTGTTAGTTATTTGAAGGCAGTGTCGGTGCTGTGGCAGATTTTCTACTTGCCATGGAGAGACTCCAGGTTCAAGTCCACCCACTGTAACGCACCACAACAGGAAGGGAGTTTGGAAGAACACCAGTACTCAATACTGGGTCATATCTGTCTCCTCAAAATCCCACTGTCCCACGACTGAAGCCAAAAGAAAAAATAACAATTTTATTGGGGGCCACATCATTATCGTACCATCTATGACCTGAAAAAACTATGAAAAAAACACAGAACAGGAAAGTCCACATAGTCTCACACACCTGAAGAACACCCTTCAATCCAGGTGTGAACTCCTGTATTTCGCCGTGCTCAGTGTGACCTGATCACTCCTGACGGATGTGAAAACCAGGTCTGAATGAGGCCCCATTCAGACAGGGGGAAAAAGAGAAGACGGGCGGGGGCAGGAGTGGAGGTGACGCATCATAAATATTTATAACACGGGCAGGAACAGTGTAGCATCTCTGTTTGCTCAGTCTAATGGAGCCAGGCAGACGATTCAAACAACAAGAACGGCAGATTAAGGGAGTGAAAGTCGAGGGAGGACGAGGGTGAACGGGAGGAAAGGAAGGGAGTTCAACACGGCGGGTGGAGGGTGTGAGTGTTTTGCGTTAGGTTGTGGGAGTGTTAGGGAGTGAAGGATGGAACCAAAAGAGAATCCTAAGAATCTGAAGGGTTGTATTTTCACTGAAAGAATAAACATTGACATCATGAGCTCAGGATGGATGTACACTGATATAATTAGCTGGAAAAAAAAACACTAAATACAAGTGTAGAATATTTTAGTAGACGTCGCACAGACCCTTCATTATAAACCTAAAAACACATGTAAGAAAATGGCAGGAGAAAAAGTTCTCTCTCAATCCTCTCTGTGTCTCTGTTCACACCCCTTCCCACAGGTCCATCCTTGCCTCCGGCCTTTTCCTGGCACTGGTGGTATGTGGTGATGGCCATCGCCGGCGCCGTGTCCATAGCTGTGCTCATGGCTGTTTACGTGGCCAAACTGCGGCGCAAGGAGACGCGCTTTGGGTAAGTAAACTGCTGGTGCTTTTGGTTGGTCAAAGGGAGGATCTTCATTTTTGTGCCAAACCATAAAAAAATAAATAAACCTTTTCCTGTCTATGGCCTAGTTTTGTCACTGGAGTAAGTATTTGGCTGCAAAAAAAGAACATCTGTTCTGAGATTCTCTGGGAGCGTGGAGTGATGCCACACTCTCAGCTGTGTTGGTGCTCTGACCTGTGATGCTGTTGTTGTTGTTGTTGTTGTTGTTGATGATGATGATGATGTGTTTGTGTTCCTACAGAGAGGCCTTTGAACCCATGATGGAGAGCGGGGAGCTGGTGGTGAGGTACCGCGCTCGTCGCACCTACAGCCGCAGGACCACGGAAGCAACACGTGAGTTCCCCTCTGTCTGTGCTACAGCATGTTTCCTTGGAAAGATGACACTTTTGTAATCCTTCAGTGTCCCTGCAGCGCCAAGTGCATGTGTAACGTCAGTTAGTAACATGTCCAAACCCGCCTGTTTCCCTTTGTAAAGATAAGATTGTGAGAAAAAGCTCAATAGTATCTGCTTTTATACCCTGGGACCGGATCTGTGTCTTCAGTGTTTGGCAGAAGACAAATCTACAAGAAGAGACAATGTCTGGTCTTTTGATTCTTTAGAGTGGGAAAAGAAAAAAGGAGCCGAATTAGCTAATTTACCCAGCCATCTCAGGAATTTGGAGGTTCTTAAAATGAGTCTAAAAATATCTCACACGTCTTTCCTGTCGTCTCCCAGGAGTTTATGAATAATGTCTATTGACTTGGGTCGGAAAGGTTTGTGACTTTTGAAATATGGGTCCCCAGAAAAAACAGTTTGTAAAAACACTGTAATACGGTAATAAGTAACAAATAAATTAAAATTTAAAAATATGAACATTAGCTTACAGTAGCCAAATAAGTGCAATTGATTTAATTTTGAAGAAGGTAAGTGACAAACCTAAGATATCAATAAATAAATAAATGACATTACTAACAGGTAGTCCAAAACCAACGTAAAAAGTAGTTCAACAAAACTTTTAGGCCAGTCCAGAAAAGTACTAGATAAAGGTTAGCCATGGTGATAATGAGTAGACAACTCTTATTCTGTAGAATCTAAAGCGTCCAGTCAACAGTGACCTCGTCACTACACGCACAGATACTGTATGTACCTGTAAACACAGCACACAGACCCACAATTCACACAGCTGGGCTACATTCAGACCCTTAAATTGTCCCTGACATGCACACGATAATTGTATAGACCCAACAGTCAAGTCTCAGCCTGCCACAGACACCGAGGAGGGGGGAAAGGTAAAACTGCAGAGAGCAAAAAAAAAAAAATGTTTTCAGAGAGTGAAATTAGAGGAGCCCAGAGAAGAAGATAACGTGAACTTTGAGTATGTCCCACTCTGGTGGTGAGAGGCTGGCTGGGAGTAGGGGGGGGGGGGGGGGGGCTGTGCGGGTGGCGCGCGGCGGAGCGACTCCAGCCAACTCTCAGACAACGTCAAGCCCTCATCCTGGGGGCTTTGGTTATTGCGTGAATGGGCTAATAGCCGGTCACGGCAGCATGTGTCGGAACATGCCTACGGACTGAGCACATTGTTGTTCGACTATGACAGCAGATTAATGGTGTAGCAGCAGCCGAGGGGGAGGAAAGAGGGAGGCGGGGGGGAGATCTCTGACCATGTTGTCGTGTCAAGTCCTGGCCCAGATGTGCGGAGCACAGCTTACACGTGTGGCGCACTGCGCAGCACTTTACAGCGGTCGTGAAGGCCAGCTGGTCTAAGAAACTACGAAATGTTAAATCATATGATCTCATTCTTTTAACCCAGACCTGGTCCCAGGGAGACCACGCAGATTAACATCTGGAAATAGGATCGAGAGGCTCCGTATCAGATACTGTTGGCTCAGTGCGCTGAATGTTTTTATAATTTTGTAAAGTTTGGGACTACAATAAAAAAAAAACTCACCTGGCTGGGGTTAAAATTGAAGAATAATTGAAGTAAAACAGAATGTAGGGTTTTGTAAAAACATAATTGAAATCCATGTCGGAAAGCTGAATCTAAAGGTTTATTTGCACAAAATTAAGAAAGATATTGATAATATGGAGCTGAGCTGTCAGATGTGTCGCTCATTTACACCAGTTTTGGAAAATGAACAACAATGACATCATCACCCAGCCCTGAGTATCAGTCAACTTGCCTTCGAGAATAAAAAAAAGTTGGAATGATGGAAAACCTCTGTTTGTTTCTATTTTGACTCCATATCACAATATTGGTTTGTTTGTTTTACCTCCTCCTTAGTGAACAGCCTGGGCATCAGTGACGAGCTGAAGCAGAAGCTTCAAGATGTGATGGTGGACAGACATAAACTAACCCTGGGGAAGACCCTGGGAGAAGGTACGACTTTGTTTTCGTCACAGACTGATGATAAGTGCTGTGTGGAGAGTGAGTGAAAGGAGAGCGCGACAAACAGGAAGTTTAACAAGGCCAAGCACTTGTTGTAAAGCAGGTCTGGTGCACAGCACATTGTCAGGATTATCCCCAGTTGACACCAATATGTTTTGACCCGTGGTGTAGTGTGTCAGAGTGCGATGTGATATCCTGTACTGCCCTGTCGCAGTTTTACGATAACCATTGTGCACCGTAAAAACAAGACTTTCAACGTCACTGCAGCTGAATTCACAGCTGAACTCTCTGGTTGTGTTTCTGTTCGTGTCTTCAGGGGAGTTCGGCTCGGTGATGGAAGGCCTGCTGACTCAGGAGGAGGCCGTTCTCAAAGTTGCTGTCAAGACTATGAAGAGTGAGTAGACGCTGTCACCATCGCTCACTCGCATTTGACGGACACGTCCCTCTGCAGGGGGTCGGAAAATGACCTCATGTTTTATCAAATAAATACATTTTTAAAAAAAGTAACAGAAACAGTAAAAATAAAGCTAAAGCTGAAGCTAGAAAATCTTACTTTCTGAGGGATTTAAAACAAACCTTCTGGCATGTATTTGAACCTCAGAACTTTTCATGATCATTTCCCACTTCATCGTACTTTTGTGATTTTTTTTTCTTCTCGCTAGTTGCCATTTGTACCCGCACAGAGATGGAGGACTTCCTGCGTGAGGCCGCTTGCATGAAAGAGTTTGACCATCCCAACGTGATGAGGCTTCTGGGTAAGACAGTCTCCCTCACACTGATGGAAAACCCACTTACACAGGAGTTTTTTTTGTTTTTCCACTGTAATTCACCTGTTGTTTATCTGTTACTCTGCATGAAATGATAGCACATGCTAGCAGCTATTTTCACAACTGAGGACAAAACTCAGTGTAAATAGAGTCTCAGGGATGAACGTCTAGTAAATCTGTATTGGTACCTTCACTAGTCAGAGAGCACTGCTGTTATATTACAAAATGTGGGACAAAAATCCGATGACTCTCATTATGTGTAATCAGCAGATTCCCCTACGGTCAAGTTTCCATATTCGTATCCATTACAGAAATGAGGAACCTGAACTTTTTTGTTTACTTTAAATTCAGTTCATCTTTGTTAAGGTGTCATTGCCTCCCACATGCTGAGCAGACACTGGTGTTCTAGTACGAATCAGTGATTGTTGTTAGAGTGTAACCCAGTATGTAGTCAAATAAAATATTGCACATTCTCTCGATAAATGTGACAAAAGAATTTATAATAATACAGGTCTGATTCTTGAGTATAAAATGTGCAAAATTGGATTTAAAACAAACAAGTTCATTGTTATACTTTTCTACACAGTACTATGTCCATCATGCAGCATAAAAACCTCTACTTGTCCCAGAACAAACTGGATTTTAGCCTAAAGAATCAGAAAGGACTGTACTGACCCCCCTAAAGGGAAATTGTTAAAATTCCTAAAGTAGCTTTTGGTTTAAAAAACAAACAAACCATGCAATATATTTGATAAAATAATTCCAAGGTCTTAGTGGGAAATATCAAAGGCTGCCAAGGTTCCATCGCTCCATTCACAGGAACATTGTCCTTTTCCCAACAACAACAACAACATTTCAGTCTGGAAAACACAGACTTCCTGCAGGATTTTATTTCCACTCGGAGATAAGAGTGAAGTGGGTACATCAGGTTTTATAATACAAACATTTACTCCATCCCAGTACACACTAAATACTCCTCTCACTTTCGCCTCCGTCACTCTGTTTGCCACCTTACGTCAGTCCCGGTGCCTTATCTTTAGCCCCACACAGACCCAAGCCTCCAGCTGAAGGCTCCAGGCCTTGAAGGTATTTCCCATCACTGCTCATATCTGATGTAAAACAATCTGCAGGAAGTCATGAAATCAGAACCAAACACTAATATGTTCCTCCTCCCGCTGCGTTAAATACTTCCAGTCTGAGTCGTCCGACTGGAATGCTATACGGAAATCAATTTGAACCGATGTGCATTGCACAGGGATAAATCACATGAGTAACGATCTGCACCGACAAGTAAAAGTATCAGGAGACTGTGTGAAATGAAGCAGCGTACCATTCATGGAGGCGTCATTTCCACCATCACTATCACACACACACACACATTTAGATGGTGGTAAATGTAAACCTTTTTAACAACTAGCCGAGACAGTTCAACTTTAGGGAAACTGGCCTCTGTCCAACTGGCCTGTCTCTCGATTGCAGTGTTTTTATTGGTTGCCAGTTAAAGCCATGACTCTTTGGTTGATGCTCCTTTTTTACCCAACACTTTTAACCAGTTTGTATAAATGAGAAAACTGTGTGTCTTACATCTTTTTTTTTTCTAAATTTAGAAATTTAGAAATATTATTATGATGAACAAATACAATTATATTTAATTTAATTTAATTTTTTACATTTTGCTGTTCAATTGAATTGTTCTGGACTTTTAATCTACTCTGTTTTATGGATTAACCAGTGGTTTTTAGCGACACAACAGTCAAAGATGTTTCCACCGTCTTAAAACTTTCTCATAAGAACTTTCTCTCACACGTCCGTCTGACACTGACTATGACACTGCAGTAGTATTGTCCGCTGCCTTGGTGAGTAACAGTGAGTTGGGGTGTTTTTACAGGTGTGTGTCTGCAGACAGTGGAGAGTGAAGGTTACCCCTCCCCTGTGGTCATCCTGCCCTACATGAAACACGGAGATCTGCACAGCTATCTGCTGTACTCACGGCTGGGAGACTGCCCTGTGGTTAGTCTGATTTACACACACACACACAAACACACGCTGAAAAGTGCAGAGTTAAACAGCTTAATGAGTTCAGGGTGTATGAGTTCACCACTGTGTCTGTCAGCAAAACAGGACTCAAAGTTCAGCATAAATGTGAAGTAAACGAGTCTCCACCCATTGGCGGCAGAGGCAGAGTTAGAGGAAAACACAAGATATGTCACCGCTTTCTGCATTTCTACTCATTAATGGATGAGGTCTTTCCTTGGAACCGACGACACTCATACGCCATAAGTCCCTGAGGGGAAGCTGAATCACAGCCCTGATTACAACAACCTTCTACAGAATTTTGAAACATCCAAGAATTTGGCTAAAACTCATAAAAAACAATCTGGTGTTGAATCCTACTCCTCCCAAGAGAAATAGGAGGGGGGGGGGGGGGGGCTCTTAATATAGGTCCTGGTTGTGGACTGAGCGCGGGGTAACATGAGCATCACCGCCCTCTGCTGGTAAAGGTGTGACTGAAATGTGTGTCTCTTCTGCTGTGATGTGCTGCAGTTCCTTCCATCTCAAATGCTGGTGAAGTTCATGACGGACATTGCCCGCGGCATGGAGTACCTGAGCAGCAAGAACTTCATCCACAGAGACCTCGCAGCTCGCAACTGCATGTGAGTTCAAGATCTGCCCGTGTTTTTCTTCCCAAATGATGATTTTGGTTCCTTTTTATGTTTGCACTTTCATTTCCCTTTCCTCATTTTGACCTTACATTGATAAATGTTTAAGAAACGGATTTGGAGAAACATAACTTATTCTTTTTGACAAGAAGAAGAAGTGCGAGAATAAAGACATTAAATTCCTTCTCCACGTTCACCTGTCTGTAAACAGCTAACAGCTAACAGCTAACCAAACCCTGTCCTTCTGCTTTAGGCTCAATGAAAACATGAATGTTTGTGTGGCCGACTTCGGCCTCTCCAAGAAGATCTATAACGGCGACTACTACAGACAGGGGCGGATCTCAAAGATGCCCGTCAAGTGGATCGCAATCGAAAGCTTGGCTGATCGCGTCTACACCACCAAAAGCGATGTGGTGAGTTAGAGAACTGACACTTCACCTGTGGACAAAATCTGTACAGAGACTATGTTGTCCAACAGCGACACACACCACTGGGAAACAAATATTTTAGAGCAATATCAAGGAATCCAAAACTTTGGATGACAAGTACTGACAACGACAGAGATTCACAGTCTCATTAAAAAGTCCGTCAATTTTCATCAGTCAATTTCCCACATATAACAAACTCAGCTGTCAGTGCCGTGCCTGTGGTGACACATCACTGACGTTGGACAACTATTAAAAAAAAAAGCTAACGAAGAAAAAAACCTCAAAGAGAAACCTCAAAGGACACGTCAAGCTTTGAAAATTGTTGTTTTTTTCTTCTATTATAGTCACAGGTTTTGGGATCTTTTACCCGAAAAGCAGAATCGAAAAAAAAGGATTCTGGTTTTGTTTCCTAAAGAGAGATATATATATACATACAGTCGCCCAGCTGCAGAAGATAAATTGAAATCTTGGTAGAAAAGTTTTTCATATCAATACAGGTTAAAGGTCAAAGGTTAAAGTGAAGTATTCTAAATCTTGCAACAAATGTGTTCTGTGAGAAAGTTTAATATTTTATAAATCCAGTGGTTCTCAAACTAAGGTAAGCAGGCCACCAATTGTATTGGGCTCCCTCTAGTGGTACTAGGGGAAATTTGATCTACCGTTTAGAGGTACAGGATTGAATATTTGTCAAACAGTTTAATGGACGATTATATGAAGGGTGGGTTCATTCTTTGATACCTAACGTGGGTCTGTATAGTTCATGGAACTGATCTGAACTGTTCTGATGTCCTGACCACCACAACCGTCCAACGATGAGCTTCGATCCCTGGGAAACTCTGGATTGGCTATTGTTTCCGAGGGATGTTAAAATGTTTTTCCTTCCAATACTTCAGAAAGATGATTTTGTTGAGCAGAGGTCAAAGGTTAAGGCCACTTTGACCCCACAGATGTGTTTTGTTTCGTCAAGCATGTTTTTAGGGTCACAGTGAGCTCAATAAAATGTTTGTTTTTTAAACACAGCCAGTTGTTTTTCTAGTCCAGGAAAAAGTGATGAAACTGTTGTTCAGTAGAAGCAGAAGTGTGTACTAGTACTTCAGTACTTCAGTACTACATCGTACCATAGAATGACATGTAACCTGTGTGGAGCCAGGTTCTTTAAGAGTACCTGCACCGTAACAGTTCAAAGTGATGACAACTGTTAGTAACCTGTGATGAGAGCGGACGTCCGTGTTATTATTAGAGCCGCGTCTGTGTTGTTTCCACGGTCGGAGTTCGACAACAGGAGAGTCCATGTTGGAGCGCGGTGAAGGTGTCAGACGCTGTAATGAATTCAAGACTTCTCACACATGGAACCTTCCCCTTCTGTCTCCCCCTCAGTGGTCGTTTGGAGTCACCATGTGGGAGATCGCAACGCGGGGCCAGACGCCTTATCCCGGTGTGGAGAACAGCGAGATTTACGATTACTTGAGGCAGGGAAACCGTCTGAAACAGCCTCCAGACTGTCTGGACAGCATGTGAGTTCCGTCTCCTTTACTTCACAAAACTAAACACATTCAGCTCAGGATGGAAAAGGTCGCAGTTTTGCCTCGTTTTTACCAAAGCTATAACGAACGTATCTGTTGTCACTGACGTTTATAAATCATTTAAATTGTAATCATCCTTTACGTCCGTCCTCCACAGTTACTCTCTGATGTTTTCCTGCTGGCTGCTGAGCCCCAAGGACCGCCCGTCATTTGAATCCCTGTGCTGCGAGCTGGAAAAAGCACTCGACGATCTGCCGGACCCCCAGGACCCAGATGAGATCCTGTACGTCAACATGGACGAGTCCTCCATGGAGCTGGGGGCAGTGGGAGGTCGTGACCCCTTGGTGATGCCGACCCCGTTCTGCCTGAAGGGTCTGGACTCCGTGACCACGGTGGAGGTCCACCATCACAACCGCTACGTCCTGTGTCCCCAGCACGAGTCGAACCGAGCGCCGTCGGACTCCATGGAGAGTCTGGACATGCCGGTGTCCTCGTCCACGGCCACGCTTCCTCTACAGCCGTCCTGCCACTCCACTCCAAACCACACCCCGGCACCAACACCCACTGTTGAGCTGCTGGAGGACAGGGAAGGCTCCAGGAAGGTGCCATGGCAGTGACCACTCTGACCCACCAGCCTGGTCAGGACCATCTTTCTATTCCAGCCTCAGAACTCCATCCAGCTTTTTGCTACTGACTGAGAAAACCTGCGCCCCCACATGGACACAGTTTGTACAGACACACGCAGCCGGAGACATTCCAGAGAAGAAAGGACTGGGATCAGGTTCTTTTGTCCACTCCCCTCTTATCTAAACCAAGCACAGTCCACGTGAATGTGTCACCGAAGACTGAACATGCTTCAAGCACGCGGTTGAACGGTCACAGAAACTGCAGCACAATCAGAGAAACTCGTTCCCCGCTTCCTCAGCAATAAATATGTAACACATCTACAGCTGCCACCACAAAAAACAACTGAGTTCTCCTCCACGGGATTAAGCTATAAAAACATCTCTGTCTCAGTGAAACCAGCTCTGACACTGCCAGACCAAACTACAACCAAACACACTCAGGAGCTTCAATATTCCAGTGATCACCAGGGAGGATTCATTCAGTCACTGAAGGAAGGAGGAGCGGAGGAGCGGAGGAGCAGGGGGGAGGAACCCCAACCTCCTGGGCTCCTGTAGGAAGGAAGGAAGGGAAGGAAGCAGCAGAGGAAAGGAAACAAGGTCACTACTGTGGACAGGAGAGGGTTAGGGTCATGTGAATTCAGACTAGTCGCCACTCTCTGATTGGACGGCCAATATAAAGCCAGCTTCAGTGTGCAGCCAGTCTATTAAGGTGGACTTTCATTTCAGCTGAGTGAAAGTGGTGTGAAAAAAATTCACTATTGAATTTTTGCTCCCACCAGACATGAAATGAAGAAAAATAAAGTATCTCTTTTTTTAAATAATAACAATAATAATAAAGCTTTTAATAATGTTGTTATTTTTTTGAAACAAAAAAAAGTTTAAAAAGTTATATTTAAACTTTTTTAGTAGTTATGATTCTAACACAATAGAAAAAAGGTCAAATTAGAGTTTTAGAAAAAAGCAACTCACAGCTGTTACATTCCTTTATTCAAATCAATTAACAAATTAAGAATAAATAAATAAAATAACAGTTATTTAACTGGTTTAAAAAAACAATTAAACACTCTAAATTGACGTAAATAAAATAACAGTTATTTAATTAAAAAACAATTAAACACTCTAAATTGACCTTTAATCTTTTTTATGTTAGTGTGAGTGGTTGGTTGCCTCTAAAGTTTCCAGGGTGAACTCCACCCCCCTTCCCACCATGAAAATACCTTTGACCTTTGACCCTAACCCTCTTCTGTGTGTCCATCAACATGAACTGTGATTAAACCCTAACGTTTCACTGTGGCTTCTCTGAAGCTGCAGGAGTTTGTGTAACAACCTAACGTATCACCAGCAAAGAAACCCTAAGGTTTTGTTTTTGTTTTGTTTTTTTGACAACGGCTTGTCATGAACTGCAGCACATACATGAGCCAATCACAGTCTGCGCTCACTGACAGATGATTCACCAGGTCCAGGTCTGTTTCCTCTGGTCTGGACATAAATAGACGTATGAGTCAAATCACCAGGGAACGTCTCAGTGGGAGAGAGGGTCTGAGGACGCACTGAGGGTCGGTACGACACGGGGGAGTCCAGCTCCTCACTTTGCTTTTGGTACAAGCACAGTGTTATGACACATTTGAACTTTTTTTTTTAATGCTGATCTTTGTTTTCCTACAACTTTGCACTAATGTTTTTTTTTTAAATATATATATATATCAGTGTATATTTTGTTTTTTTGTATATGTTTTGTGTATATGCTCAGTGGTTCTGTTGACATTTCCTGTCAAAAAGCATTACAGCCACTGACACAGCCACCGACACAGACCCAGACACAGACCCAGACACAGACCCAGCTCGTCTGCCGACATGAACCTGCCACATTCTTATTCAAACACCTAAACGTCAAATATATAATCTTTTCTCCTGGTTCCTGTCAATGAAATCCTGTGAGTGACAAACAGAAGGTAGCAGCTGTAAAAACTGAATGTACGAGAAGATCGTTCACCCAGAGCGCCATCTGCTGTCCATCGTGCATGCACTTATTTTCTTTAAAAAAAATGCTTTACTTTACGCTGTTGCGACGTCACCGATACGAACCGGGCCGTGTCATAAGACAAGTTCTGGGAGAAAACTGTGTTTAATAGAAGCGCTGTGTACTTCGTTATCATACATGAACGGTACTTCCATATATATTTGGACATGAATGTTAACGTGGATGTCGTGAAAAGACGGTGTACATTTCTTGAAATGTCGTTGGTACTGTATCCTCAGTGTGACAGTGAGGCTGAGTGGGTTCAACACGGTCACAAACCACCGGCCTCTAAAGCAGGGGTGTCAAACATACGGCCCGTGGGCCAAAACCGGCCCGCCGGGGGGTTCAATCTGGTCAAAATGCACACTTCATGTTCATGGTGTTTTGTCAAATTATATTTCATTAAATATGAATATTTCCTAATATAATGGTACTTTGTTGAAAACAAAAAGGAAAAACATGGACTTATTGTTATTTATAGGTAATTATGTTATAATTGGACTGGTCCGGCCCACTTGACATCTGGCCCCTGAACCAAAATGAGTTTGACACCCCTGCTCTAAAGGCATAGTTCAGATTTTCCTGAAGTGTGTTACTAGAGGCCTGTAGCTAATGCTAACGGTCCATTACGTCCTACTAACAAGCTAATTCATTTGGCAACTGGTCATAAAATGTTCAAGTTTCCCATCGTACAAATTGTCCAGAGCACCAGCAACGACCGGGTCACTGGAGGCCAGAGACTTTCTGTGGTGCTGTTTCCACGTACCAAAGTACTACATCACATCTGTACAGAACTGCACAGGAATCAACAGTAGTATCTGCAGTTCAGGGCTACATTCTGAGTTCTTCATAGAAAGTTCTTCATAGAAATCACATTCAAACAAATGGCGTTTGCTCCTTTTTAGACCATAACTAGTTTAGATTTTTTTTAAAAATCTGCATTACTTTTCAACAAGTGCCTTCACAGAGCCAGTATTTGTGTTTCAAACGTATGTGCGACCCGTTTTTCTCCTGGCGTAATGAAATGAGAGAAAACTGTACGATAACTGCCTTTATATGTTGTGACTGTTATGGTGTTTGTAAACTGATGATTTTTTTATACACGTCTTACAGTATTTTGTATAAGAAATAAATGCGTTTATTCACGATTGACCTTGTGACTGTCCGTCTCCCTCAAACCTGTTGTTTCACTGACATTTTTATTTCATTCAGTTGAACTGATGTGACTCTGGTCGATGAGGTAACGATTTATTATTTTTCATGCTGCTGAATCAACACGGCAGCTGAACATCAGAACATCAGATGTGGATGTAGGAGATCTGAACGTCGCCGTTCACCTCCAGCTTGTCGATCTCGTTGAAGGACCGATAGCGGTGGGAGAAGTCGAACATGTGCTGGCCGTTCACAAACACCTTAAACCTCTGGTTCCCACAGCGGACGGATATCTGATGGAACAGACAAACGGAGGCCCGTGTTCATGCACAGTCTGCCTAAAAAACACTTAAAACACCATCCCGTGGGTTCTTACATCAAAGTACTGTCCCTCAGTGAAGGGGTTGAAGTTCATCTCTCGCTCCTCTGTCCCCCAGTTTCCTCCAATCCGGCTGTTCCTCACCACGACCCCTTCCTGCACTCGAGGGTTCATGTGGAAAACGACGTCTCCAGATCGGCTGGCCAAGAAGTTGATGGAGATTCTGTAACATATAAATACAGTAGTCAGAGTCAAAGACACAGAACGATCCACGATTATAGATTATTGATAATTATTATCACCATCACACACACTTTTTTGCCCCATAAGGAACCATGCCCCTGATGATGAGTGTCCTCTTCGAAGACATCCCTCCTGGGATCATGTCACTGTAGGGAAGAGACTGAAAATCACAGGAAAAAAAACACTTTAAACAATGTTTTTTGTCATCGTAAAATAATTTGTTTTTACTTTTGCATGTTTTTTTGCCATTTTGACTAAAATTACAATCTCATCTTTAGTATTTATAGTGTAGCTTATTGGTAGCTTTAATTGTATTATTAGATACAAATTACCTAGCTGTTTTATATAAAAGTTATTACATCAATAAACAATGCTACTTATATATATACTAATGTATATTATTTATATTCGAGCACTGAGGACTGAGATTAACTTGATAAATCATAATGTTGAATCCTGCAGATTCTCCATGTCACCACAGGAGGTCACCAATGCTGCCAAAGCAAGTTATGAAAATAGCAGATTCCAAATTTGGATACGAAACACTGACGGTTCACCATGATGACACACTGATGTGTGTGTGTGTGTTAAACACATGTTACTCACGGGGTTGTAGACTGGCTGTTAAACACGTTACTCACGGGGTTGTAGACTGGCTGTGATCCCATGCCCTGTAATCAGATGGAGGAGACATGATAAATGAAGAGAAGAAAAGACAACATTTGATATATTAAAATGTGTTTCTCTTACAGGTAGCTGTGAGCCTGGGTATCCTCCCTAACAAAGAAGGAAAAAAAACAGTAGTTAGCATGTTGCCATATCAAATATAAAACTATAACCATAAAATATAAAATATAAACCATAATAATGTTATCAAAAACTTACCCCCATGTTGCCCCCTGGGTATCCACCCTACATTAGAGATAGAGAATAAACAAATATTTTTCTTTAAGACTTACACTCATAGATTATTATATATATATTTTTTTTCCATTTGTATTTACCCCAAAGTCACCTCCTGGACATCCACCCTGTCATGCAGACACAGAGAAGACAGTTTTCACTCTCCTCAGTATCACTTTTAGTGGCTGATAACGTTCAGTTTTTTTAGTTAACTGGTATTTTCTATAACAGTGTTTTTCTTTTCACTAAATTGTTTTGAATTTTTGTCCATTTTCCTACATCTTGGCTAAGATAATCTTTATAAATATATTTTTTCTCTAATATATATTATATATTTGTAACCAACTCTCATTTTGTATTTGTACAGTATTTTTTGGACCATTTTAAGTTTTTAACTTTTTAGTCTCAATTTATACCATTACATACTTTGGAAACAAATTCCTGTGTCCTTATATATTTTTTTTTTCAAATGTAAGTTTATGCAATAATTTTTTAAACATGATTTACTCACCCCCATGTCACCTCCTGGGTAACACCCCTGTTAAAACAATATGGAGAGTAATAATAATATTCTGCTTCATGCAACATTCATTTGATACAAATATATAAACATATGTTACAAATACAAATACTTACTCCCATTCCATCACCTGGGCCTGCTGGGTATCCACCCTTAAAGTCAACAAAAAAGTCAAATTGGACAAATAATTTAACACTACTACCTTACGGATATGTATCATATTTTTATTAAAGTGCACATACCCCCATGCCATCACCAGGGTATCCACCCATGCCTCCACCTGTTCCACCCTGAAAGGCCAAAAAAAAAAGAAAAAAAGTTGACTATATTCTCAGAAAAGACTTGAATAATGATATCAGTGACACTAAGAGACGTCCTTCACCCCAATGATGTTGATGGTCTGGATGTGAACGTCTCCTACGATCTGCAGGCCACACACTCTCTGCAGGGGGAGCCGGTGCTCAAAGGTGTGGAAGTCTTTTCCATTGACCGTGATCTGGAAACAGAAAAGATGTTAAGGGGAAAAAAAAGAAAAAGAAAAAGTAGTTTTAAAGTCATTTCTAGGGTTAGGGTGGGTTAGGGTGGGAGTTCTTGTTTCTCTGACCTTGTAACCTTGTGAAGTGACCATGATGACCATTTCAAAGCCCTTGCCCTTGCGGAAGGGCATACTGCGGACCTTGTCCTCGGAGCCCCAGGCTCCATTCTGGCAGGTGTTGAAGACCACTCTGTCCCGGCCGTCGAAACGGGGGTTAAAGTGGAGGGCGATGTCGCTGGACTCGTACTGACCACAGAGCAGGTTGACAGCGAACCTGCAGGTGGAGCACACACATCACGTCACAGCGGCTGATGAGTTTGTTTAGGGACAGGAAACAGGAACAACAGTGCAAACAGTGCAGGTGAGGCTGTGTGGAGAGAAAACAGAAGAACTGATAAGAGTGAAAAGACTCTCTACAATATAATCTCTACAATACAGATAAAGAGGGGGAAAGAGGCGTGTGCTGTGTTTACCCCGTTGCCTGATGGACTGTAAAAGTACCGCTTCACAGTTCTGACATCACTGTTTTTAAAATGGGAGGGGACTGTTGGGGGTCAAAGTCTTTCATAAGTAGAAGGACAATGCAAACAATCTCAATACGTACATTTTAAACTTATTTCCTAATAAAACCTAAAGTGAATTTAATAAAAACAAACCACAGTTAAGTTGTCAGAAATACAACAGAACATTCTAGAGTCAGTCTCACCTGGTGATGCTATCAGGAACTGAACCCTGGAGGTAAATGGACGAGCCTTCTCTCAGTCCTCCATAAATGGGCCCCAGGTAAGGAATTGTCTGTGCAGAGAAAAGAAGAAAGAAAAAAACACTCAGCAAATAGAATGTACTTTAACAAGTGTGTTTCAAAGTTTTCTATTAAAAAAATGAACCTCACTGACTGACATTTCTACAACATTCTAAATATAATTGTAGATTTGCTACATAGGAAAGTAGTCATTGAATGTAGTACTGCACATGAACTGACTGTAGTAATGATTCACTATGTTAAAGTATGTGTACTTCACCTACCTCAAGTCGATTTCCTGACTTTAAAATATCATGTTTTTAGGCAACAAGTGAAACTTTATCTCTTAAATGATAAATTATTTTAGTGAGAAAACTGCACGTATTCCAGCATTTAACAATAAAATGGACTTGACTTGAACCAAAAACAAAACATATTGTAATTTCCACAAACATTTTATCTGAACAACGAAATGGTTTACAAACAAATAGACAATTTTTTTTCCAGTTTGTGTCACAGCTGATACTCACAGGGCTGTAGACGGGTTGATACCCCGGAGGAGCGACAAAGGTCATGACTGCAGTCAGTGAGAAGGAAAAGATCAGACGGAGGCAGGAAGTCTGTCAGCAACCGATCCAGACTCCAGGATACTGGTGTTTTATAGGAGGGATGAGGGAGGGGCTGGACCTCCATATTTACATTTGGAGGCACTGAAGTAAAAAAAAAAAAATTAACCTTTGACCCTTTCCAAGGTGTGGCGAGTCTACAAAAGGTAAGTGTGTAGTTTCGGGTAATCTCTACATTGTTTAAACAACCATCAAAACTCCAGTAACAGACTGAAGTCAGGACGTTACCATGGAGCCACCTGTCAGGAGGGAATGGGTTTCAGTATGAACGGTTGTTTTTACACTTTTGAAAATGCAGAAATTCAGGAGAATTTGGATTCCTTAATTAGAACATTTCTAGAAGAAAATCAGAAAATAAAGTCTGTGCAAATTCAAAGTGAGATCAGCGATGTTTCTTTAAATCCTGTCGGAGACTGAAATAAAGGGGTGTGTGAAGGTGATTCATAAAACATTCCATCCAGACCGTCAACCAAAGACAAACAGTAACACGGCCGACTCTTATCATTTACTGCTGCATTAAATCTAATGGAGGCAGGACGTTTTTACGACTGATGACTTTTACACCCATTTATACACAGTACTCCAACCCGGACACATATCTCATCTGAAATGTATACCTCCTGTATATTACTCTGTATATAGAACTTCACTATGTCACCTGTTTACTTATATTCACAGATCCGTTATCTCTCCTGTGTATGTCTGCTGCACCTCATAAGTGAAAATTTATCTTTATGTCTGCTGCACCTCATAAGTGAAAACCTACCTGGTAATAAAAACTTTTTTTTTTAATTCTGATTTTATTATACGCACACCAGGTGGACACAACTACACACTTTAATTCTATTCAACTGCAGGATGAAAGTAGTCTAAGAAAACCAACACACTTCAGGGAGAACGTACTTCTACTTATTGGTGTTAAGGAAAGTAATAAAAAAAATTACTGAAGTAGAAAATACTAAAAACGGGGGATTAGTATAAATTAGGACACGGTTTCTAGTACTCCTTAAAATACTCTGTTTATTCTGTATTGAAACACAGGATTCAGTCAGAGGACAGTCAGTCAGGTGAACGTACTGATGGTCATTCAGCTCCATACATCAGCAGCTGCACATGCACACTTCAGAGTCGTCAGCGATCACCGTCTGACCAGAGCGAGTAGTTACATCAAAAAACAAGACAGATTTCTGGGTTTGTTTGTCGCCGAACCAGGCAATGCAAAAACTGAAGTCGTCTGAGATCAATACTTCACACGTGGCTTTTACCGCAAAGGACCAAAAACAACAAGTTCACTGGACTCCTCTAAAACATCAGTGGCGAAAAACAATGAAAACTAGCAAAGACAAAAAGCAGTATTGTCTGCATTCTGACTGCAAACTGGGCGTTGGCTTCAGTGTGAGACCAGTTCTCTTCTCAGCACTGTAGAGGACGCATGGCACAAAACAACATGGTTCATTCAAATACCCCGAAGCCCAAAATAAAATAAATAAATATATGTATTTATGTAAAATATGTCTATTATTTAAAAGGCCTCTAAGCAGCCTCGTCATGATGAAGTCACACAGTTGACACTTTGGCCAAAGTTCAACTCAATCATTACTCATTTAAATGCACCGACGAAAACCTATTTGTGCACAAATTGTCACGGCACGGCGGACGGGCTACAACAGTCGTCTCCAGAGAGTCTGGGCCGCGTATAAACAATAATAAATACCTGCAGCGCCCCCTGGTACTGTATGTGTTTACATCACCGGCGGATGACGTGGGCCACATACTGTCCAAGTCCAGGGCTGCATCGTAAGACTTCAAAGTGCAAACTGTGTCTCCGTGATTCGTCACTTCTGTTTCTGACAGGACTGAGGTTCTGTGTGTGATTGTACATAGGTTTCTACACATTGTCAGAGCAAGAGAAGGAGTCAGGTGTGCGTGAGTGTGTCTGTGTGTGAAGGTCACCCACACACGGCTGTTGATAAAGCCTTACGTACATGGATCAGTGAGCTTCCTTACTGTACTTTTAGTCGCTTTTTTCCAAGAGCTCACTAGATCGAATCAGTATCTTTTATATATATATTTTTTTCCTAAATAAAAAACGTACGTCAGATGGACCATCAAAACTGCCAGTAAGTTGATACTGTAGAAAAAGGCACCAAAATGAACTGTGATAAAACATCAAATGGACCTGTATTCCAGGAGAAGAGTTGGAGTATGGATGTCTAAAGAGGAGAGAGGTTCATTTTAGCCAGCCCCTGCTGGTCAGCAGTGGCACTGCAGTAGTAATTCTCAAAAGAGAGAGACGTCTCTGATACACATTCCATGGTGAGGGTGGGACTGATGTTCACTGCTCCCTCCAGGATCCCAGAGATTGAGCTGTGAGCTGCTGAATCACTCCCCCTCCCCCCTTCCCCCCTCTTTCTTTCAATAAAAATCTTCAATGAAATTTTAACAGGCAGCAGCAACGAAGGAAACAAGACTCCAACCATTCAAACAATACAAATAAAACAAAGTCTTAAATACAAGGCTCAGAGCTATAAAACTAAACTATCTGATTGCTAAAGCAGTGACGATGCTATAGGCACTGAAATGTTGACAGCAGGATCTTTCCAAAGAGCCCTTTGTGCACGACGTTTTACACAAACAAGGCCATGACCTGTGGTGTTCCATGGAGAATAGAAAAGGCCACTTGCTTCATAAGTGAGTTTATGCGTATTGAGTATATAATTGACTCTGCTTCTCTCCACTAATCTCTTTACCTTTTTGCTGCAGTTGTTACTATAGTGCAGTCACAGCGTGCATAGCTTCAACTGAGGAGAGAAATGTGCAGGAAAACGATCAAAAGTAAGACCTTGTGACACCTTCACCACTCTGGACTTCACTCCTCTCTTTACTACTCTCTTCTCTCCTCATTCTGAGGCCCATGCACCGTGTGGAACATTATCCCAGCTGATCCTCATACTGCTTCCTAAAGCAGTCTCCGGCGGGGAAGAAGTCCCAGCATCGTTCCTGGTACATCTTCCAGACATACGACTCCTGAAAGACGACAGAGGGGCAGAGGAGAGGTGAAGGTTTTATCTTTACAACCTGCATTATCAACTACTCACTGTTTCATACGAGGACTGACCTGGCCTGTGTGTTCTGTTTCATCTTTGTTAATCAGATACATTAGGAAGAACCTGCGAGAGGAAAAAACAAAGAGGAGAAACTTCACAATTTGTTTGGCGCAAATTTCTTTCTGACTCCAAAGATCTGTTTTTTAATCACATGATTGCAGTAATTGTTTTTATCAATTACTAGAAATTTTACAGAACCCCATTTGAATTACAGATGACCTCATGTGGGGTTGCAAAGTCTTTTTAATTGTTCTATGAACTGTAGACGACGATAAGCCCAGATTCTGTGAAGTCCTGTGATAAAGAAAAGCCTTGTGAAACAATTTACTACCAAATGTCTCACGTCCTTATCCTTGTCCTTAACAATCTAGGTTGAATGGTCTTATTATCTCACTACTGTTCTAATTTAGACAGAAACATCCCAGATTAAATAAAACATATGAACTTTTCATGATCGCAGCTTTTCAGTGACAATGTCTCTTTTTTGAGTCTGTTTGTAAAGTTTATGACAATAACAAACAGAAATACGTTTCTGTATCAGTGTCACTATGGTTTCCTCTTTCCTTTTTTTTTGTCCTACTTGGACTCTGCACGTTGACACACCCAACACAACACTTGATACTACACCGCATAAATCTCATTTTCAGCCGAGACACTGCCAACTGCATCAGACAGTGCTGTATTTGCTTCTCTAATGAACTTTACCTGGTGCTACTGTGAACTGAAGTTCACGTCACTTACATGTAGTTGGCTAAATTATGTTCTTCTAAAGTGTGAGTCTCAAATCCATGCGGCGTTGTGTCAAAGTAGTCACTTCCTATTCCACAGATGAAGCACTTTGTCTGATGGAAGAAGAAACATTTTACATTAAAATAAAGAAAACCTGACAGTGGATTAAAGATGGTGACAAATGCAATGTCAATTAAATGAAAAGAGAAGTCCTCACCTCCATGTCCTCTCTGACCTGTTCCTGCTGGTCTCTCAGCTCACCAAAGGCATCAATGATTAGACCTGAGAGACAGAAGATCAAAGTTTTTACAGCAATCATACTGTTCCATGTGCAACTTAGAAGTCTTCACTTTGACAGGCAAAATGTTAAAGATCGATTAAGGATCAACTTAGAAGTCTTCAGAAGTTCTTTAGAAGTCTTTGACAGGTTTTCAGGCAAAATGTTAAAGATCGATTAAGGCCACTGGTTCCCCTGTCATCTCATTCATAGGACATGAACTAACATCAGGAGGTCAGATTTTAGATTACAGTGTGAACTCTACAGTGAGCATAAAACCTACATGCTTTTTCTTTTCAGAACTTCAGGAAAAAAAAACGAAAACACAGACAGGTCTGTTTGTACCCTGGATGATAGCCAGCAGGATGACAATGACAAAGAAGAAGAAGGTGATGTCGAAGACCACTCGGTACAGCTCGTATTCATCTCCAGCTGGGTCCTCGATTTCGTCTCCAATACCACCGCCAGCGCGTACACCGACGTACATGTGGAACAGGTAACACTGCAGGAGCAAACACGCAGGTGTCAGCTCTGAATTATAGGACTTCAGTCAGTTCAGAGAACGTGGCTGTCATCTCTCACTGTCATCATGTCGTCACACTTCATGTCCGGTTCGTCCTCATCCTCGCTCTTATTGTAGAACTTGCGGAAGAAGTTGAAGGCCACCACAGTGTACAGGTACACAACTACGGCCAACAAACCCACCGTCATCAACAGCTGAGAAACACAGGGGAACAGGTCAAGAGGTCAGTTAATGTTACACAGCAGTTGGTGATAATAATGTGGATCCGTTCAGACCTGTTTGCCGTTGTGAGTGACAGAGGACAGGATGGTGCGCAGGGTTTTCACACCCATGGCGATGTCCAGGAGATGAGCAGCAAAGAAGAAGTTGTTATAGTGTCCCAGCAGAGACATCAACATGTACCAGACCAGGTAGAGGAAGGTCTAAAGGTCGATGTAGAACCAGTATTAGAATCCCACTCATTGTCAAAAATACCACAGACGTTTCAATGAACTCACATTGTCAGTGAACACAACACCAAACTTCCAGATCTGATACTTGACGTCGATGGATGTGATCCTGGAGACAGAAGGAAATGACCATCAGCTGCATTCTTTTCAATTAAACATATATTATATTAAAACCAGATACCAGCTGAACATGGAGGTGTCGGGTTCTGCTTTCTTTCCATGAGTCATGGCACTGACGTCCAGAGAGGCCAGGTCCATACCCAGCAGCTCTGCAATTCTCTCTCTGCCGTAGATGTCACCGTATTTATCCAGGACCTACAGCAGGTACACATCAGACAAATGTTTCTCTGACTGTGACACATCAGAAAAACAACAGCGTGGAACAAAGATAGAATAAAGACGGTTCTGACAAAGTGATAGAACTACAGTTCTTACCTTTCTTTTGACAAACTTGTCCCAGTAATTGTTGGGGAAAGTGCTGTGGATAAAGACCAGATGACAGTCGTTAAAGGCAGATTACTGCACTGATAGGAACTACAGTAGAATGATAACAACGTTCTTTATCTGGTTGTTTTCGTATTTAGCATATTTTCCTGACTAAATGTTGTAGTATTGTTCGTAAAAATGCGTTGTGAAGAGTCAAAAAAATTATGTGTTTTATTGGCTTATAATAAGACTATTCTTTGACAAAAACATAGGCTAAATTTATTTCATCAATTTATTCCGTATTACTGAATGCAACAATTAACAAATAAACCAACTTCAAAAGAAGATGAAGTGTCTTCTTCTGCACCATCAGCATCAGTTAGGCCATTAGTTTCTTTCCTGCTGCAACATGACTTGACCTTTTGGTCAATGTTAAATTGTCAAAAAGTCATTATGGAAGTTTGGTTATTTTTTATAGTTTTTTTAACTTTAAGGAAATCTTTATGGTTTAGTTGTATAATTTTTCAGTGGTGCAGTAAAAGTGTTGAATGTAAAGAGTGCCCTCTTGTGGCCCCTGGTATAAACACAGCCTTTATATGCATCCATGTCTCTAACATTGCGTCTGATGAGCTTACGGAGTGTTGAGCACCAGTCGGTCCCACTGGCCTTTAATGTCATCATCTTCCGGCTGCTCTGTGACATACAGTCCATCGAACTCCAGTTTCCTGGCCAGCTCTTTCTCTCTCTTGAAGATAACCAGAGGGACCTGAGAGTGCAACATGAAACCAGAACTGTGAGAGATGCCCGACAGCAGCGTGAAAGGATTTTTGGAGCCTCAGAGCAGAGGTACACACCTTCAGGCAGTTGTAACCAATGATGCAGAGGAAGGAGATGATGGTGTGAATTATACCAAAGAAAGCCATGGCTGGTTCCATGTAACCTGTACTCTCCTCTAAGAAGTAGTACATGGGACCTTCTTCATCATCATCTTCTCCTCCGTCTTCTAACCCAGAACCTTCCTCCTCAGCACCGGAGCCTTCAAACATGCCAGAGCCCTCAAAAAGACCAGAACCCTCGTAGTCCTCCTCACCTGGGGGAGTGTCAGACACCTGGAAAATGGGACAAAGAATACAAATAATTTCAAACATATATTTTTATTATTTGTAACGAAATCATTACACTGTTATTTAGTTTTCAGGTTAGGACTAAATGATTCATCTTTGTTTAACAGACCTTGTAGAAAAGCAGGATGAAATTGAGAGCGAAGGCAATAAACAGAGCAAGGAACCGAAGGTTGTAGAAGTTACGAGAAAGGTAGTTCTGGAACAAAATAGAAGGAACAGCAGATGTGAGTAAACGATTACTGTGATCAGTATCGTAACATGGACAGAGAGCTGTTGCTCACCATGAATTTGATTCTCTGGATCTCCAGCTCATTCCACAGCTCAAAGCCCTCCTCAACAGGTTTCTTTTCCTTCTTTGCCTTGGTTGTCACAGTCGGTTTCTCTTCTTCTTGGGGTGGTTCCACTTTCACTTCAGGTTCAGGTTCTGGCTTCTCTTCCTTCTCTCCATTCTCAGTGCTGGGAAAAGGTTATAAAGTTTAGTATCTTTTTTAGCATTTAATAGATAAAATCCTTCTCTGGCCTCAGGACTTCTTACTCTGCCTTCTCTGCCTCCTGAGGAGCTTCTTCTTCATGTTCATGCTCATGCTCAACGGTTTCCTCCTCTCCTTGTCCTCCCACTGCAGCTTCCAACTGTGTAAAGAAGAGTTCAAAAGTTGTATTTCTTTGAGGAAACAATATATAAACTTTTAAGTCCAAAACAACCCACCAGTTTCCTCTTGAGCAACGGTGTCCCCTCGGGAGTTGGAGGTTCTTCTGGAGTTGTCTCACCAAAATCACCAAGTCCACCAGGAGCACTGAAGCCAGGCATATGTCCACCTTCTCCTTCCTCCCCACCCTCCTCTTCCTCTTCTCCTCCTCCAGTATCTAAATGTTCTGCCGCTCCGTCTGTGTCCTGGACTTCTCGGGCTCCTGGTTCTGGTGGAACGTCGCCGTGAACTTCGTCCTGTGTTGGATCGGGCATACTTGCAAGGATCTCTGTCACAGTCATCTTTTTGGCGCCCTCTACTAAGCCTCCACCAAACAGCACTTTCCATATGAATGTGAAGAAGCCCTTACATATACTATAGACAAATATCAGGATACCCATCAGAACAGTGTAAACAAACGTAACCAGGCCGATCACCATCTCCTTTATCGTCATCTTCCTGAGTTTGCGGTAGTGACGGCGCAGGTTACGGAAGGTGAACATATTAAAGAAGTTGATCACACTGTTCACGAATTCTGCAAAGGCGGAGGTTGACTCTGGAGCTTCCCCTTCGCCGTTGCCTTCATCACCTTCTGCAGACTCTACTTCATCTCCTCCACCTTCCTCTTCTTCCTCGTCATCTTCCTCCTCAGCACCATCTCCCTCGGGCTCGGAGATAGATGCGGCAATGTTCATCTCAAAGATTGTGTCCTCGCAGAAGTTCACAAACATCTCCATCTTCTCACTCTCACCGCCCTCGTTCACCACATCAAAGATGAACTGTCGCTTGGACTCTCTAACCTGTGGCATTTCCCACTGGTTGCGGTTGGCCTCGCTGATTTCAAAGTAGATGCGCTCAATCCTTCGGCTGGCTCCCATGATCTCTATGCGGCCAAGGAATGGACGGAAGTAATTGAGTACACTCTCTGCCTGCTCCAGGAAGTTCTGTAAGCGGGTATCATGAGGCACGTGCTCCGACAGGTTAGTGAGAAGAACAGCAATATTGAAACCAATGTCTTTGGCTGGCTCCTGGAAACGATCAGCAAATTCCTCAAAGTTGATCATCTCATTTTCATCAGCCTCTGAGCAGGAGAGGAGGAACTGGATTTCTGACGGAGAGTACTGCTTCTGACTGTCCATGGCCTTAGAGAAATCCTTCTTGGAGATTAGTCCACGTGGGTCAGTCACATAGTCCCTGAAGGCATCAGATGCCACAATGTCCTTGAGCTTTAGGAACATGTCAAAGAACTTAAGGATCATCTCCACATTGCTTGAGGACTCCACCAGCATGTCCACCATCTGCTTGGCAATGGTGCCGTTTACCACATTGCCTGGAGGAATTCATGATGAC